TATTGGGCCTTTATTGGAGTAGTGGAAGTCTGTGGGCCGGGGGTTCCTGGGCCATATACTCCATCACATACATACATTATTTTCACGTAGAAAGACAATAACTTCACACATACAGACAATACCACAGATACCCAGACATAGAGTATTTAATTGGCCAGACTACTAATGTCTGGCCCAGACAAAATTTGTCTGGCTATACGACAAAGAGTACTTAATTGACCCAGTCTACTAATGTCTGGCCAAGACAAAATTCGTCTGGCTGTAGGACAGAGAGTAGTTAATTGTCCCAGATTATTAATGTCTGGCCAAGACAAATTTTGTCTGGCTGTAAGACAGAGAGTATTCTTTATTCTAACAAGAAACCTTACTCTTCTCCTTGTAGAGATTACATATGTAATTCATTCACCACATGTGTCTTCACATTACCAATACAATCATGTTTCAAAAAAAAAGGCACACACATATATATAAAAACTACATTACCAATACAACCATGTTTCCAAACAAAATCACATACATTTAAAGTTGTCTGGTCACACACACATTTTATGTATGACTCTAACAACTATAAAATCACGTCAACTTTAAACAACTATGAAACCATGTTCACTTTATGCTAGACAGACACTGCAGTTCCAAATTGTCTGTCCGCCAAACAAAATACAAATAAATGACGAAAAACAACATATTCTTCTCCTAGACTAACAAATACAGACACTGCACTTACAAGTTGTCTGTTAGACAGACAACCCTTTTTTTCTAAAACGCACCAAAAAATCAAGAAAAAAATCAAGAAAAGTAGATCTGCTCCAAGTCATTCAAAGCTTCTTGGTTTGTACTTTCGTCGTTGTCTCCCCACGTCACCAAGCTCTCCTTTTCGTTCGATTACTGTAGCTCTTCCATTTGAAACGAAAAAAATAAGCCGACGAGGAGAGAAGCAGGAGACGAAGCTTGGAGGGAGAAAAGATTGAAAAAATGAGAAGACTTGATGGAGAGAGATTTTGAAATGGGAAAGAAATCAAGTTTTGGAGAAAATAGAAAGAAAGGGGAGGGGAGGGGCGTGAAAAGAGAAGATGGAGAGAGGGAGGGAAGAAGAAGAAAAGTGGAGGAGGGGGAAGGGTTTTTGGAAACAAAAAGTCTATTGTTACACACTTTCTATACACACACATACACACTATAAATACCCCCAAAAATAATTTACCCCCCTTTCCCTCAACCAATTTCAAAACACTTCAAAAAAACACCCGCTCCAAATTTTTCCCGCATCCCCACCTTCTCCGTTGCTTCCCCTCTCCCTTGCTCTGTTTCTTCCGATTAATCCCCCGACGAAGACCAGCTTTCTCCCCTGTAACCCCCCCGACGAAGACCAGCTTTCTCCCCTGTAACCCCCCCGACGTTCGAAACCCTCTTCCCCGCTAACCTCGTCAACCCCAGTCGAAGACCAGCCTCCTTCTCCCCTGTAACCCTCCGTCGAAGGAAACCCTCCACCCCGCTAACCCCGTCAACCACAGTCTAAGACTGTTGTCGCTGCGCATTCGCTGCGAACACTCCTTCCGGTCTCCGTCGAAAATGGTGCGAACCCCGCTATCAACCATGGCCGAAAGGTATGTATCCTTTATTTGTCTGTGAAGACTTATATGAAGATAGATTTGTCTAAGTGCTTGTCTGTGTGAGCGTATATGTAATTGGCCCTGCCACTATTTGTCTGTGAAGACTTATATGATTGTCTGTATTACTCTTTGATATGTTTGTGTGACTAATATGATGTCTGTACTGCTACACAATGCTATAAGACAAAAGCAGGTGCAAATAAAACATATGTCTATGTGCGTGATTGTTTGTCTGTATGTAACTGAAAGCTTGTCTGTGTAATTTGACATATGTCTGTGTAGTTATGGTTTATTTTCTTACAATGATAGGGCACTTCAACTCCAGATTCCTTTGAGCAAGCATTTCCCTGCACAGTATTCTGTGTGCTCGGATGTGAAATGTGCTTCTAAGTACATTCATGCGATACTATCTAAGAAACAATTGCAAATTTTCCGGCAGACACCATGGGGTCACTTTATTGATATTCCTGATATCCAGTTTTGTGGCCAAATAGTCCACATGTTGTTGTTACGGCTGGTGAAGCAGCAACCCGATGATGAGCTTTGGTTCAATGTTGAGGGTAAACTTATAGAGTTCACGTACAACGACTTCTGCCGCATAACCGGATTACCCGTGGCAGCCCCGAGGCCTGTTGTGGCTGAAGATAGTGACAACGATGATTACCTTTGATTAATAACTACTTTATTTACTTTAATGCAGGTGTTCATGCCTGTGCACACTGATGGAAAACATTGGGTGCTATCTGAAATTGACCTACTCAATAACGTCGTACGGGTATACGATTCTTTGAAGACGAGTAGGTCGGTTGCATCTGTGAGGCTTTTGTGTATCTGACTTCCACTCCTGTTTCGGGTCATCAAATGCAACCCTGTCGTTACCTCCATAGCCCATTCACATCCTTGGAGAGCGGAGGCAGTGGATGATGTTCCACAACAACACTCAAGGTACACTCATGTCTGTACACAAATACAATTTGTCTGTGCATAGAAATGTAATGTCTGTATGAATTGTATTATTTTCAGATCCGGTGTTTGCGGAGTTATGGTAGCAGCGTTTGCGGAGGCACTGTTGCAGAAGTTGCCCTTGATGCCAGAGTGTGCGTATGAGAACATGGCAGCGAAAAGATGTGAATATGCATTGAGGCTCTGGAGTTTGAGGAAGCGATCAAAGTAGACTTGTTTTAATGGGTGTGAATATTTTAGTTTATGATGGTTGTGGATGTAAAATCTTTGATGTAACCTTACTATTTAGTTTTGGCCTGCATGGGTTTGGTTGTGAAATGTAGAAGGTTGTACAATATTACAATACCAATGTTGTACAATGTCCTAGAATGTACTCCCAAATATTACCAATGTTGTACATTGGTATGCTTTTTTGTTCTGTGTTAAACACTAACTGTCATTGTTGTTCATATAAACATAGAAATCTTTTTTGTCTGTGATTTATATTCACTTTGTCTGTGCTATGTACACTATAATATCTGTAACAAACACATTATGTGTCTGTGAAGAACACACACTTTGTCTTTGATGTGTGTTACTTTTGTCTGTGAAGAAAAAACACTCTGCTATACTTAGAATAATAGACTTTTTGACAAAAATAGACATTACAAAAATTAAAAGTACATTATAATATCTCTGACAAACACATTGTGTGTGTGTGAAGAACAAACACTATGTCTGTGATGTGTGGCGTATTTGTGCAATGTCTCTGTGAAGAACAAGCACTTTGTCTGTGCTTTAATACATCAAACTAAGATTTAAATCTAAACCACTACAAATTCATCATGTCATTAAGTCCACCTTGTCCATTGCCATCCTGAGAGGTCGGTTGTGGGGTACTTGCATTGTCGGTCCTAGCACTTGATTTCTTCTTCCCCTTCTCCAATGGTCCTTTTTGCCGGTTTTTCCTCGGTGCACCCTTACGCTTTGCACACTTCGGATCTCCAATGATTTTTGGAACGTCACCTTGCACACTAGTGCTCGCTTGTGGGATAGATGTAAGGTTGCCACATATGGAAGAAGGATGAACTTGGGGAGGAGTATATGTGGACAATTGAGACTCCAACCAAAGAAGAACACTTTGGTACTTCTCATCATCATCCGCAATCATGTTTGCAAGAGATTCAAATGTCTTGCACAACTTATGAAAGCGTTCTTGTTCCACCGTTGTGATCCACCCATCGTAATTGATTTTCACCTTCGTGTACGCTCTTTTAACATCTTTCCTCCATCTTTTCAATAGGTAGACCTCGGGAAAGAGCTCCAATCCAAGGCGAAGTAAGACCACAATCAAGTGTCTACAAACCGTACCCCTAAATTCGAACAAGTGACAACTACATATTCCAAAAGTAATCAATGTGTCATATTCTACAACAAAGTTAATGGTCTTTCGAAACCCATTAATCTTTCGGACCTCCTTTACATTAAATTTTGTATCACCTTCGCTTTGTAGGAGATCACAATATAATGTACCTACAAGTTCATCTTGAAACTCCTTAAACTTCGCTAGGGTGTAAATTTCTTGGACTTGTTCTTCCATTTCAAATGATGTAACACAAGGAATCATTTTTGCAAACGAACTTGTATCGGCGTGAAATTCTTTTTCTGCCTTACTTCGCAGTGCACGTCCGTATTGTTCAACGAATTGATTAAGAGTAGTTTTCGAATTCACAAAGTCATCGAAAAAAGCATTGATACTTTCACTTCGTTGAGTGGTAGACATACCCGCCCAGAAGCTTGGCTTTAAGAAACATGGTACCCACCGGTGTCGTTCATTGTACATCACTGCAAGCCATTCATGGTCTTTAAGGGAATACCTGAAATAACATTAAACAATATACATCAATTACCAATACTATGTACAGCACAGACACTATTGTGTCTGTGCTGTACATTTGTTATGTCTGTGACATACAAATTTCTTTCATACACAGACAATACCTCTCTGGAATGGGCACGCAATCTTAGCACATATACAATGTGTTTTGTGCCCGCAAACATTAATGTGTCTGTGTGGTACATTGCAAATGTAAGTGCAGTAAAATAAGTCGTATGTGCCATGATCATACAAATAAGCTCTAGTTCCACAAACATTATAATGTCTGTGTAGTAAACATACATTGTCTGTGATGTGAATATAAACTTAGTTCACAGACAAATTGCTTCTGTAATGCGTCAATTTTTTTAGGAAATAAAGGGTACCTTTGTATCATGTCCTTCCACCTTTGCTCAAATTCTGGAACATATTGAGAGTCATAAATCGATTCGTGAATAGCATCCAAGATTTCTTTTTTTTCTGTAATTCCTCCCATTTTTTCCGGTACCTTTTTCATAATATGCCATAAACACCATCTATGTCTTGTATTTGGGAAAACAATTTGGATGGCATTTTGCATTGCACGGTCCTGGTCCGTAATAATGCCCATTGGAGCACGTCCTTCCATACACTCTAGCCATGCTTTAAAGAGCCATACGAATGTTTGCGTATCTTCATTAGAGATTAATCCGCATCCAAGCAAAATTGATTGACCGTGATGATTAACTCCCACAAAAGGTGCAAAAGGCATGTCATACCGATTCGTGAGGTAGGTCGTGTCAAAAGTGATGACATCTCCAAACTCTTTGTACGCATATCTACATCGGTTGTCGGCCCAAAACACATTACGCAATCGAGATTCGTCATCTAAGTCAAGGACAAAGAAAAATCCGGGGCATTGAGCTTGCATTTTAGCAAAGAACTCTTGAATTGCCATGGCATCACCACTCGCTAACCTAAGTTGTCTTACCTTTTGAATGTAGTTCCTACAATCTTTTTCAATAAAAGGAAGTTGGTCATATCCACCGGCTTCAACAACGGCTGCATTGAAGGTCTTATGAAGTCGTATTCCGGCGACATCGTTGATTGCAATTTGCCTCATTGCTTGGGGAGTCAAAGTCCTATGGCACCGGAATAGGCGAGCCTTTGTTGGGCTCATGGGATGGGTATGATCAAGGCAGATTTTTGATATTTCCCAACGTCCCTCATAATTTGTGTGTGCTCGTATTCTTGCTCCGCACCCCATTTGCATTGAAGGTTGAGGCTTCAATTGATTTTTTGACCTACTAGATCTACTACCGACATGAGAACACTCTAGTAACACTCCAACTATATCCACCCCATTTTTGTGTTTGGTGGTACTCCTAGTTCTTACGGGAAACCCTAAACGCTTCCCATATGTTTTGTAAAAATCATACACCGCTTCTTTGCTATCAAATTCCATACCAACCTCTGGAGCTTTTATAGAACCAACACCACTCTCATTTTGCTGAATTTCTCCATCTGACCAACATGCACAGACATAAGTATATTTAAGCACATAGGCAGTGGTCTATTTACGCACAGACAGAAGTATATATACACACAGACACAATTATATTTACACACAGACATTTCAAACAGAAGTACATGTACTCACAGACATAAGTAAATTTAAAACTTTATTTACACAGAAGTATATATACACACAGACACAATTATATTTACACACAGACATTATACAATTCACATAAACACTACACAAATACAGTCAATTGTCTGTGAAGAACAAACACATATATATTTACTTTAAAGCAAATGAAATCAAAACGAACTCATACCAAGCTCAGGGACGTCGTCCATGGCGGCCGCCGCCGAGTCGCCATCAACTTACGCCGCCACCGGAATTTGTCCTTCAACTCGAGAACCACCGATCGTTTGATCCCAATCGGCCCAAAAGTCGTCCACGGTAGTATCAATGATGGTTTCGTTCACAATACCACCAAAATCCATTGGTTTGAAGAGAAGAACAAAGACAGCGGGTGTTTTGAAGGCTCTGTTTTGCGGTTGGGGTGCTGTTGCGGGAAGAAGAAAGAAAGCAAGAAGCGGGTGTTTTGAAGGCTCTGTTTTGCGGTTGGGGTGCTGTTGCGGGAAGAAGAAAGAAAGCAAGAAGCGGGAAGGGAGGAGAGAGGGTGGGGTTGTTTTGAAGGCTCTGTTTTGCACGTGTGGTAGGAGAGGGGGTAAAAAATGGTAATTTTTAGGCTATTTATAGTGTGTATGTGTGTGTATGATAAGTGTGTATCCAAAGCAAAATTGTTTTGGAAAAGGGGTAAAAGGAATGATAAAAATTGAGGTATTTATATAGGGTAGGGAATGGGGCAAAGTTGAGGTACTGAGTACCTTAAAAGCACGTTAAGTGGTGACTGGTGAGTTGTCTGCATCTCATCCATGTCATATTCATGTCAAGGCTGCAATTGCGGTGCCTGCATTTTGAAGGAAGGAAATGGACCTAGTCAAAAAATACTTGGAGAAAGGAGACGGCGAGTATGCCTCCGTAGTAGATGACCTGCCCCAACGATTCTTCGAACCCTTCATCTCCTATGGCATCAAGGTCGACATGGTCGAGCGAGGCCGCCTTGTCTGCACTCTCAAAGTCCCCCCTCGCCTAGTGGTTCACTTCTATGCTCAACTTCATGGTGTTTTTGTCTTAATTGCACCCCCATTTATGCCGTTTTCGATTTAGTTAGTTTATTTAGTTGTTCGAATTTGTGCGGAGAACAGAACATGGGCAACTTCTTGCACGGCGGAGCCACGGCGGCGCTGGTAGATATTGTGGGATCGGCAGTTATTCACACCGTTGGTGCACCGTCCACTGGGGTATCAGTTGAGATCAGTATTTCCTACTTGGATGCTGCTTTTCTCCATGTAAGTTCTCTTGTCCATCAATGCTTTAATGTGTACTGTAAATCTGTAATTAGGGTATGTTAACTTAAATAATAATTCGTGAGTCTCTTTTAGAAAATCTACATGTCTGACTTATAGTAAACTTGTTACTCACCAAGCAGTTAGTGCTGTAAAATATAGACCTTTCTTGAGAATACACGCTGATTGTTAAGCTGAATGGTAGCACTCTCTAGTCTCTACTTTTGTCCTCCAGTTAGGTCAATGACTTTCAGGTCCCAAAAGGAATGATGTACTTTGCTTAGAAACAAATTCAAATACAACAACATTTCCCCAGTGTGCAAAGACTTCCCACCTACGATGGGGGGCAAGGGGTAGGATACACGCGGCCTTACCCTTGTATTAAAGCACAGAGAGGCTGTTTTCGGATGACCGTGATGAAAATCATGTTGAAAATTGCACGGACTAACCGTTGTTTCATAATAAAGAAGCGCAAACAATTTAGTGAGTCATTTTGCTTTATTCCATCATATTCTCTAGCCAAAAAATTGTGAGTCTTTGGCTTCATTGGAAATGATGGAAAGGTCCTATTTAAAGAATAAAAGAATAAAACATCATGAGCTATGCTCATGAGTCCTATTTTGGGAAGGAAATGAGTTTACACCTATTTGAGAAACTTTGCTAGCTTTTACTCCTGTTTAGATAACTTTCTCTAAAAACATCACATCCATGTTTCCCACAACTTCCAAGTCTTATATCAACCAAACCTATTTTATTGTTTTTGTTTTCAAAAGCTCAAAACAAGAACACTATGTAATAGGACCGTAACTTGCTTTCCTTGTTTCATTGAACTTTCTTTTTGTGTGAAGAATAATTATCTTTGGAGTAACAATTTTGTTATACGAGTTATTGGAGAACCAATCGTACATTTCTCATCTGAGGGAGAGAACTTGATTTATTCCTCTTAATCATCATTGCTCATCAATCACCTCTTCCATCCTGCCATCATGGCTTAATGGCTGAACAATTAACTTATTGTTCCAATTAAGTCACAACTCACAAGTAAACACTCCTTACCGTCTATTGTTTATATGCCCCCTTATGGTGAGGCCGTGAGGTTAAGTATGGCTGGGCAGCCTTGGTTTGTTGAGATAGTGGTTTACTGGATTGGATTATCTAAAATAGTTTTTTATATGTTTAATAAATTAGTTAAAAAGAATTAAACGTAAGTGTATAGGTGTCAGCTATCTTAATTTTAGTCATTTTAACTTATAAAAGCTAACCTCAGCATTACTAAAAACATCACTCTATTGACTTTTGATGGTCACACAGTTGAACGAGTTACCGCTTAGTAAACAAATCCCGGTTGACCTGGCTGATAAGCTAATAAAGAGTTCTACCAAATGGTATTGTAGTGCTTCTAGGGACACAAATTCCTTTGATGCTGGTCTTATAATGTGTGCCAAATTACTTCTTTTTTCTTTAATGAAGTTATAGTGGTTACTTGTTAAAGATTTAGTTGTTCTAATGAGAAGAACGAAAGAAACCTCCACAGACTTTCCGAACCATACAGTGTTACCACAGGGCACATGTACTAGTATTTACTGCCATATGTATGTTTAACCTCATTGCGGACTTCTGTGTGTGAATTTTTTTATAGCTATTCATGTGCGCCATTATGAGTTTTCAACCTTTGCTTAGTAATTAATACTCTCTCCGTTCCAAAAAATGGCCTTATTAAGAAAGTAGTTGACAAGTAAAAAGAGAGGTGGAGATTTAAATAGAAATATGTGAAATAATGAAAACCACATATTTCTTTCGTGAAAACAAAACATGACATCCAATTTGAATTTTGAAACAGTCCAAAAAGTAAAACACATTTTATTTCGGGGCGGAGGGAGTATTTACTAAAAGTCATAACTGAGAAGATGATGGATGGCACTACCATTGAATCAGGAGGAGGTTGAGATAGAGGCAAAGGCACTTCGTGTGGGGAAGACAATAGCTTTTGTCAGTGTGGAGTTGAGGAAGAAAAAAACAGAAAAGATAGTTGCTCAGGGGCGTCATACTAAATACCTGGCTTTTCCCAGTAAGCTTTGAAACTCCCTTTCTTCGTTCGTGAGTCAAGGAAGAAGGCCATGGAGATCATTGATCATGACCATTATCCACGGTTTAAGTTTGGTCACAATAACAGCGCATAATGTAATACAGTCCAAACTTTATACTTAGAGCACATAAATTTACATTAAACCCTGTCTTGCCAAATAACAACCAATTATCTTGATAAATTACAACTTACGGAGTAATCAAAATGGAAACTTGTTTGTTTGGTGTTCAGTTTTCCTTTGCATTAATTAATAGTTGTATATAGTACTCATGCCAAAGCCTCACGACATTCATATATATTCTTCTCTTAGATGTAATTCAGGGAATTTCTTTATCATGGATATGGTTAGTACATATTTAACAAATGTTCTATCTGGTAGCAAGGAATGCTTTCATGTAAAACATTTTCCTAGAAATGTTCTATCTGATAGCGCGCTATAGCGGTTTAGCGGAGCGGCAGACATGGAAGGCGCTACCAGGAGGGCTGTAGCGTGGTGTTTGGGTGTAGCGGCTATAGCGCCTGCTATAGCAGTGGTGCGGAGAAGGTTGTGGCGGCCGCTATAGCGGCGAGTTTTGTGGTAAACGGGTACTGCGCATTCTGCGAGGGTTTTTGGCGTTAAATTTTTTAGCGCAGAGGTAGAAGGGTTAAACTTGACTTTGAAAACAAAATATTAACCCACTTAAAACCCTTGCACGTACGTAAAAGCACAAAACGGTTCCAGCTTTTGAAAATACTCCGTTGATGCTCTACGATGAGTTCTTCTCCAAGAAAGCTTTGTTTCTGCTTTGCGATTGATTCTTCTCCAACACATGCTGCCCTTCTCTTCTTTCATTCTTCTCAGTAGTATCTTTGCAACATCTTCTTCTCCAACCTTTGCTGCAGACCTGCAGTGAGTCTTCTTTTCTTCTTCTCTTATGGAGGCTAGTCAGTCTACTGCCATGTTTAAGCCCACATGAGAACACCTTGACCCAGCTTGGAAGTGGAACAGTTTGACTGTTAATATATCAAGGCTTAAACTCTTAAACTAATACCTTATTTTTTATTCAATGTTTTGACTTAAGATGTTTTAATCATTAATAGCATCTTTTGTTTTGCTCATGGAACTAAAGAGTATTTCTAAGTTATTCAGAATTTATGAATGTTAAGATGTTTGCCACCTTCATTGACATATATCATACTTTTTGAATTCAATATGTGTATGCAGTGTATTATTATTATTATATATGCTTCTAGTAGTTACTTATTTTGACATATATCATACTTTTTGAATTCAATATGTGTATGTAATGTATTATTATTATTATTATTATTATTATTATTATTATTATTATTATTATTATACTTGAATTTATTGATTTGAATGAAATTGCATCAGAGAAACTACTCTCAGCAAGTCTTTATTTATAAGGCAAATAATTACAAGGAAAAAATCATATGCACATCAATCAGTAATTAATTCCTGATTTGATACAATCTGTACAATAAATACTAAAATCAAGAAGGAAATCATATCAAATCTCAACACTCCCCCTCAAGCTGGTGGGTAGATATCATATGCATCAAACTTGTCACAAATATATCTTATCCTCGGACCTCGAAGTGACTTAGTGAGAAAATCAACTAACTGATCATTTGAATTGACAAAGGATGTGAAGATTTCTCCAGAAATGACTTTTTCACGACTAAAATGGCAATCGATTTCTATATGTTTTGTTCGTTCATGAAAGATAGGGTTAGAAGCGATGTATAAAGCTGCTTGATTATCACAGATCAGTTTCATAGGCTTCAGTTTGCAAAACTTTAACTCAGACAATAACTGTTTCAGCCATATAAGTTCGCAAGTAGTGAGAGCCATGGCTCGATACTCTGCTTCGGCACTTGATATAGCGACAACGCTCTGTTTCTTGCTCTTCCAAGAGATTAGGTTTCCACCAATGAGAACACAGTACCCTGAAGTTGATCTCCTGTCATTTGGACAACCGGCCCAATCCGCATCTGAATATGCGGTAATATTGTCACAACCCCGGTTCGCATAAACCAGTCCTCTTCCAGGTAAACCTTTGATGTATCTTAGGATTCGAACAACTGCATCCCAATGACTATGACATGGCTTATTGAGGAACTGACTAACCACGCTCACGACAAAGGAGATGTCTGGTCGGGTCATAGTGAGATAATTTAACTTCCCCACAAGTCGTCGATATCTTTCAGGATTGGAGATAGGCTCTTCTTGATCTGGCAAAAGTCGAACATTTGGATCAATTGGAGTATCGATCGGCTTACAACCTGTCATCCCGGTTTCCTTCAAAATATCAAGAGCATATTTTCTTTGGGATATGGCAATGCCAGTTTTGGATTGAGCTACCTCAATTCCAAGAAAGTAACGAAGTCGTCCCAAATCTTTTGTTTGAAATTGCTGGGACAAGTATAGTTTAAGATTCTGTATGCCATCATGATCATCCCCTGTAATTACAATATCATCAACATAAACAACAAGGTAAGTAGATTGATTAGATAAAGATCTTTTATAAAACACGGTGTGGTCTGCTTTGCATTGAATCATCCCAAACTGTTTGAGAGCCGTATTGAATCTGCCAAACCACGCTTGTGGAGGCTGTTTAAGACCATACAAGGCCTTATGCAACCGACACACATATCTACACTCCCCTTGAGCAACAAACTCAGGTGGTTGCTCCATGTAAACTTCTTCTTTTAAATTACCGTGAAGAAATGCATTTTTTATGTCCAACTGATGTAAGGGCCAGCTGCGCATAGCTGCCATAGATAAGAACAAACGTACAGAAGCCATCTTTGCAACCGGAGAAAAGTGTCACCATAATCCAAGCCAAACACTTGAGTAAACCATTTAGCAACCAAACACGTTTTCAGCCGGTCAACTTGTCCATCAGGACCAACTTTGATGGTAAACACCCATCGGCAACCAACAGTAGATTTACCGTGGGGCAGGGGAACAAGAGACCAAGTACGATTAATTTCAAGCGAAGCCATCTCATCAAGCATAGCTTGGCACCATCCTGGGTGGGCAAGAGCTTCTTGGACAGTTTTAGGAATGGAAACAGAAGAGATGGAAGACACAAAAGCATAATGGGAAGGAGATAGACGATGATAACTTAGACAACTGTAAATAGGATGCGGGTTCCGAGTGGAACGTATACCTTTTCCGGTTGCAATTGGAAGATCAGGTTGAGCAGGTGTCTCAGGTTGGTCCGGAGTAGGTAAAGGAGCTGGAGCTGGAGGTGAATCGGCAGGGTCAGTATTAGGGACATCCTCATTAGGTGCAGATTGCGGTCGACGCTGATAAGTAATGAGTGGTTTGGCAGAGGACAATGGAGGACTAAGAGGTGACAATGGAGTAAGATGAGGAATGTGTAAGACTTGAGAGACAGATTCAACTTTCACTTGTGAAGTGAAATACGGTTGATCCTCAAAGAAACTGACATCTGCAGAAGTATAGAAACGATGAGTAGAAGGTGAATAACAACGGTACCCTTTTTGGACTCTAGAGTAGCCAAGGAATATGCACTTGATTGCTCGTGGAGATAATTTGTCAAGACCAGGGGACTGATCCTGTACGAAACAAGTACACCAAAGACTTTGGGAGGAACAAGGAAAATGGGGTCCTTTGGGAACAAGATAGAGTGTGGTACTTTGTTATCCAATGTAGAAGATGGCATTCGATTGATTAAATGGACAGCTGTGAGAACAGCATCTCCCCAGAATTTTAGTGGGGCATTGGCATGAACCAGTAGTGTGCGTGTTGTTTCAATGATATGACGATGTTTTCTTTCGGCAATCCCATTTTGTTGAGGCGTGTGGGGACATGTGGATTGATGAATTATCCCTTGAGTAGCCATATATTCATTGAAATTTGTTGAGAAATATTCCTTGGCATTATCACTACGTAGAACACGAATGGTATTATCAAACTGATTTTTTATTTCATTGCAGAAACTTTTGAAAATGCCTAATAACTCTGAACGTTCTTTCATTAAATAAAGCCACATACATCTTGAAAAATCATCAACAAAGATAACAAAGTACCGAAATCCTAAAACTGAACTGACACGACTTGGACCCTAAACATCTGAGTGAACAAGATAAAAGGGAGATTCTGCATGACTGACTTTTTGGGAAAGTGGTTCTAACATGTTTACCAATTTGACATGACTCACAGGCTAAGGACTGTAAATTGGAAACTTGAGGTACCATTCTTCTCAGTTTATTGAGACTAGGATGACCTAAACGTTGGTGAAGCAAAGAAGGAGACTCCATAGCAGTGCAAGCAACTGAAGAGGAAGTCTGAAAGTAGTATAGACCTTGAGATTTAAATCCTGCTCCAATCATCTGTCCCGTACTCCGGTCCTGTATAGAAAAAGAGTCATCAATAAAGGTGACAACACAAGTATGACGACGTGTAAGTTGACTGACAGAAACCAAGTTGAAAGGACAACCAGGGATAAGAAGAACAGAATTAAGAGATAAAGAAGGATGAAGTGTGGCCTGTCCAACGCCAATGGCTTTAACTTTTGAACCATCAGCAAGGGTGACATGGTGCGCTGATTTAGGTTGAGATAACTTTGAGAAAAGAGAAGGACTACCGGCAATGTGATCAGAGGCACCAGAATCTATGATCCAAGATTTGGCGGGTCCTGATTGAGAAAGATAAGCTGTAGAGTTACCGGTAAAGTTGATTGCTGCTGAGGAATGCTGAGCTGCCTTAAGGTGTAGATACTCTTTATATTCATCATCTGATAGAACATTCTGGGCACTTACAGGAGACATGACGTATACTGACTTGGGAACAATCTGGAATGACTAGGACTTCTATTCCTAATGTCGGCAGACCAGTCTCGATGAAGGTTGGCTGTAGGGACGACTAGGGAAAGTGAGGACCAAGCTCTGCTACCAACTTGAATTTACTGATTTGAATGAAATTGCTTCAGAGAAACTACTCTCGACAAGTCTTTATTTATAAGGCAAATAATTACAAGGAAAAAATCATATGCACATCAATCAGTAATTAATTCCTGATTTGATACAATTTGTACAATAAATACTAAAATCAGGAAGGAAATCATATCAAATCTCAACAATTATTATTATTATTATTATTATTATTATTATTATTATTATTATTATTATTATTATTATTATTATACGGAGTATATGCTTCTAGTAGTTACTTATTTATTATATTTGAAAGTAGCCTAAATAGCGGTCATCCCGCTATCCGCTATACCGTTATAGCGTTTTTAGGGGTGGTCGCTCCGCTCCGCTAACTGGGATTGACAACACTGCATGTATGATGTATATTTGAAATTCTCGCAACAAAATACATCATGTTTAGTCATTTCAAAATTCTAATTTTAGTACAAGTACAACTCTTCCAAGCCACATGATTCTACCCGTTTTGTAAATTTCAAAATAGGATTGTTATGTTTTTATTCTCAAAAGTATGAGTAATTTCTTTCATATTTTGGCATACTGAGATTTTAAATATGACAATATTTTTCAAGCTTGACAATAATTAATTTTATTTAGATTAATTTTATTTAGAGAATAAAAATATGACAATCTTGTTTTTGAATTCTCTATTTTAGAATTCAAAAATGTTTTTACTCCTATATAGAGAATTTATCCTTGATGGAATGAGTTTTTTCTCCCATCCTAATTTATGTTTTTTCATCCACCCAGAAAACTTCCATATAGAAAATTTTAATGTGATTCGGATAATTGATCTATGAAACTTTTCCACAGTTCTTTTTATCACATCATTTAAAGATTTCTTTGATTATTTTGATTATTGTTTGGATATTTATTTAGGAGTATTAGTCTTTTATAAAAAACAAAATGATCTGTACAAATAAAATTGGTCAGTTAAAAGGAGTAAAAAGGAAAGGATTAATTGATTATGGAAGGACATGAAGCAAGAAGCATTATATCTGCATAAATCTACAAGAACATTTTGATTTTTTGTTGGTTTAACGGCACTCTTTTCATATCGTGTTTGTATGGTGGATCTGATAAATTATGTTCCTTAAAACTTTAATAACTTTCCTTTTATATCGTTCCACTAACTTTGTCATTTTCCTTTTAATATTGTTTCAATTAATTCTCTCTTCTCTACACAAACCTCAATCACACAGTTTTTATTTTATTAATCTTTGTGTCAGGTCAAACTTAATCAAGTTTTAAGAGACAAAGGGAGTACTCCATATAAACTTATTACTTTTGTTTAATTTAATAGACGTTTTTAGACAAGTTCTTTTTAGGCTGGATTTCTTGTGGGACGCCAGGAACATAGTGTTCAGCGCACGAAATAGAAGAAAACAAGCACTTCCAACTTCCAAGAACAGTTTCCAAAGAGGACGTAATTTTCCACAAAGATTCAAAGAACCTGGAAAACTAATTTATTTTCGAAAAAATGGTTCCACTGACTTCACACGGGAGAATCCATGAAATATTTTCCGCTATGGGTCATCTGAAAACAGTCTATGCTTTAGTACATGGGTAAGACTGTGTGCATCCGACCACCTCTTATCCCACCATAGGTGGGAACCGTTGCGGCACTGGACTGATGATGATGATGATTGAATGAATGAAAATATATTCTTAGAAAGTTACAAAGCCTAAATTGTCTTTCTGCTAAAAAGATATTGCATTCAAAGGTTTAGGTAGGAAAGAAAAAGGATCAGCCAATTTGTTTTAATTAGTATTAAGGTTTCAACTTTCAAGGGTTTTCCTTACAGTCTACAAATCCTAGCGCGTCTCCCAAATTTAAAGTATTTTTCATAGTTTTCCTTCCAAAGCCTCCATGGCCTCCATTGCCTTTCTTCATCATTGCTGCAAATTCTCCATAGTCGATTTGTCCATCCTGCAATTGGAGAGCTTAAGGTTACTCCTTACTAAACATTTCTCTCTTAACCAGATGGTCAATACTCAATAGAATGAAAAGTTTTGAATAGCAAATTCAAGCCATTTTGGATCATTAACTATGTTTGGCAGTTATTTTGTTAAGAATATATGGCTTCTGCATGCAAATGTAGTGCTTTATTTTAGGTTCTTGAGAAAGTAATTTTTTGCTCATTCATCCTTAATTTACAATTTTTCCTTTTACTCCCTATCCACTGACCATTGTTCGAAAAACTGACATGGCTCACAAATTTTCCTCTACCCATCCTCTGTTAAAAAATGACATGGCTCACAAAACTCCAATCTGGCCCTTCTACATCAACTTACTCTAAGGGATTTAGGGTTAAGCGAAATATCACCATTGAAATTTCAATTTACGCCTCTGTTATCTGAAAATAAAATGTTGAGACTTTTAATAAAAAAACATATAGAAGTCAGAGACTAGAGCCTTGTGACACATCAGTTTTTGTACACAAAGGTTGATGTGGAGGGGCTAGAAAGGTAACTGCATAAATTGAAAGTCATTTCATTTTCATTTACCCAGTGCCGCAAAGGCTCCCACCTACGGTGGGGTAAGGGGGGGTCGGATGTACGCAGTCTTACCCCTGTACTAAAGCACAGAGAGACTGTTTCCAGATGACCCATAGTGAAAATCGCGTCCAAAATTGCATGGACTGACTGCTGCTCCATAACAAAGAAGCGCATACAGTTTAGTGAGCCATTTTGCTTTATTCCATCATAATCTCAAGCCAAAAAATAATGAATCTTTGACTCCATTGCAAATGATGAAAAAACATAAATTGAAAGAGTGAATAACAAAAAACACAGGGTCTAAAAAAGCTCTATTGGCAAATTGGCAAGGACGATAAAACACATTTAAACCCTGCATAACCTTGCATGTAAAGTAGAAACAGAAGAGAAGAAAGCTTACATTATCTTGATCAATTTCTTTGATCATATCATCAAGATTAAGCTCGCTTAGACCAAATTCTCTACAGGCTACTTGAAGCTCATCAATGGTTATGTACCCACTTCCATCTTTGTCAAAGAAACAGAAGGCAGATACAAGATTTTCCTCCCTTTCCAACTTGTTCAAGTGCACAGTAGCAGCAAGGAACTCGCCATAGTCTATTGCCCCACTGTTGTCAATGTCTGCCTGTCGATTAAAATCCAAGTAGACCTTGTTTCATTGGCATAAACACAAAAGACTAGCGAAGCAAGAAATTACGGAATTGCAGAAAGAATGATACATACAGCATCCATTAAGTCCTTGATCTCAGACTCTACAAGTTCTGATCCAACTCGTCTCAAACCTTCTTTGAGCTCTTCAAAGGTTATAGTTCCACTGTTGTCTGTATCTATCATTTTGAAGAGCTCCTTGAGACCGCCAATTTCTTCTTCTGATAGCCTCTCAGCAATTACCTAAGTCAAATTAAAATAAGACCATAATCTTAAGATACACCGGTGGAAAACAATGTATGTGATGATTTACTTAATATGAGACACTAAATCTTTGTAGTCTTTCAAATCGGCTAAATATGAGAGACTAAATCTTTTTAGGGCTGTTTTGGTTCAAAGATTTCAGAGGGAAGGGGAGGGGAGGATTTATTTATATTTTCTTAATTTATGTCAATATGTTGGTTGCAAAATAGTAGTCACTATATGATTATTTAGTTCTTGCAATTTCCGACGCGATTTTCATCACGGGTCATCCGGAAACTGACTTCATGTGCTTTAGTACAGGTGTAAGACTGTGTACATCCGACACCCCCTTACCCCACCGTAGGTGGGAGCCTTTGCGACACTGATTTTTTTTAAAGTATCACCATCTGAAATCCCCCAACCAAGCAATCATTTAAAGTTATTTTTGGTCTAAACTCAATATTACTATGGTATATCCTAAATCCTAATCCACTCCACCTGTAGCCTTAATGTGAGTACCTATAAACAACTCACAATCTAGACAGATGTGCTTGCCCATGACTCCATGAGGGGTGAAGGGGTTGAAGAATGTCCTACCTCAGTTAAATATGAAAGAATGAACCCTTAATATGGGTTGGATAGTTCTTCCCTCTTAAAAACTCTTCCAAAGTTGAGGTCCCTAACCTTATTCTTATACTCCCTCCATTTCCAAAAGAAAGTCACGGTTTGACTTCACGATTATTAAGGAAATAAATTGACTTTACTGTAGAAAACAGTGTTTGGCACTGTTTGGACACTGTTTGGCACTGTTTGGATGTAGATTTCTTTGCCAAATAAGGAAATAAGGGAAGTGTGACTTTGTTTTTGAAACATCTCAAAAAGGAAAGTGTGAGTTTCTTTTAGAAACGGAGGGAGTACTTAATACAAAGATCTATTTTTACATTCAACTGGAACAACTTCAGTTTAACCTATACAAGAAAACTAGGCTCTCTTTACAAATTGTAGAAGGATGAAACAGTTAATAAAACAGTTACCATTATTGAGCTGTGGGGCAGAATATAACTCAGAAATATTGAAATGCTACCATATTAATCTTAGGTGCATAAAAAAATCTTACTCGAAAGCCATTTTATTAAGTTCATTCATTTTACACTCGACCAGAAGAACCTCAGTCTTAACCAATGCAAGAACCGAAGAAAACTAGGCTCTCTATACAAATTGTAAAATGATGAAACAGTTGATAGGTATCAATATTGAGCTGGGGTGGCAAAATATAACTCAGAAATTCTGAAGACTGCCATAGTAATCTTAGATGCATAAGAAATTCTTACTCGCAAAGCCATTTTCTTAAGTTTATTCATTGCAGAGAATTGTTTAAGACGTGAAAGAACTGCAGAGCCAAGAGGCTTATCAGGTGCCACTTTGTCATCCACAATCCAAGGATGGCCTGCAAAATCAAAGGAAGTGCTCTTATTGTTAGAACTCTGCAATCCGTTAGCATGATATTCTGAACATACTATTATAAGTTAATAGCCAAAGGGAGCTTACACAAAACTTCATGTGCTGTCAATCTGGTGTTGGGATTCCTATCAAGCATTTTACGTATCAAATCTTTGGCACTATCTGAAACGACTGGCCATGGATCTGATTCTAAATCAAGTTTCTCTTGCAATATTTGGCGGAATATCCCCGCATCAGTTTCTGAAATAACAGAAGAAACAATCAATAGTCATGCTAGTCACCCTCACCCCCCCCCCAAAAAAAATAGTTAACCCCTGTTTTAGTCCTCAACTATACATTGTTGCTCGAATCACTCGTCAACTATGCAATTTGGACACAATTTTATTCTAATAGAGGTTTAGTTCTAAATGGAAAGGATAATTTCGTGGATTCGGTAAACCTAGATCATATTTACGACTCAAGTTTGTTCTCAACCATGTAAATTGGACCCAATTTAGTCCTCAGCGGATAGAATGCTCTTCATAATTAGAGAAAAATATGTTAGACTAAATTGAGTCCAAATTGCATAGTCGAAGACTAAATTGTGTCCAAATAAAAAATGCTGAGTCCAGATTGAGTAATAGTATATAGACAAGGGAATAAATTCAAACAAATGTCATGCAGACAATCTCACCAAGATAGAATTTGTCAGATACAATTTCATATTCAATTACCTGCCCAAAAAGGTGGAACACCGCTAAGGAGAATGTACAACATAATCCCGGCACTCCATACATCTGCTTCGGGTCCATAATACTTGCGTAAAACCTCTGGTGCTACATAGTAAGGACTTCCGACCACATCCGAGAATATTTCACCTAGTTAATATAACAGGACAGATGAAAAAAGGCTGCAAGTAATTATTCAAGACATAACAAGTAATAGACGTTGAAAAAGGCATCATTACTAGTTATTGGGAACTTTTCGAGTTTTGAGGTCACGAGACCTTAAAAAGGCGTCACTACTAAGCAAATGGCTATGACCTTAACCATGTTAGCTGAAATGGTTTAGAGGGGAAAAGACCAAACATTCAAACACGCCACCTCAATAAGTTAAATCGACAATAGACATGTGGAATTCAAGTTTTTATTTACTATTTAAACAATTCAATCATGAATCCTAATGTAAATGGTATCCCCCAAAATAAAAAGATGCTGTTATAAACAAATAAAAGAGAGATGAATAAAAGATGGAAGAAAGTGTTAAGCAAGCTATACACACTGAACAATTAAAAAACACAAATTGACATATTTTTTTAGAAGAACATAACTACCATTCATCCAAACTATCCAAATCCAGGTCCTTAAGTACAAAAACAGGAGGATCATGAAGCCAAAACTGACCAACACAAACTCACATATAAGGCATTGGGTTATTCAAGTTTTAATTGAAAGATTTACCTGGTCTGTAGAAAACAGAAAGGCCAAAATCAATGGCCTTGAGAATGGAATCCTCATCTGTACTGAGGCACAAAAAGTTCTCTGGCTTGAGATCTCTATGCATAACCCCTAAAGAATGACAAGCCTCCACAACACCAACAATGGTTCTGAGCAGCTTAGCAGCCTCCTTCTCACTGTAATGCCCCTTTTCCACTATCCTGTCAAATAGCTCCCCTCCACTGCACAGTTCCATCACAATGTGCACATATAGAGCATCTTCATAAGTACCTATTAAACATGAAGAATGAGATTTGTAAATGGTTCAAGAATCCTTGATTGTGGTGCTGCTTGTATTTATAGAATATTAGAATTTAAGAACAAAGGTTAGAAAATTAATAAAATTTAAGAGATTCAACCATTAACCTTACCAAAAGTACTTACATACGGCAAGATTCCTATACAAAAGAGTAAGACTAGTAATCCATGTCAAACTACCAAAATCAATAACTTCGTCTAGGGTCCATTTAGACCCCATAAGATACTTGAGGAAAAAGTACTACAAAAAATATTTAAAGAATTTTCCATCCTAAAGCCAACAGCCCGGAACAGTTCAAAGTTGTGAGATAGCTAAGTAGAAATTAAAGGGAAAGATTTAAAAATTCAAAAAATTATGGATATTTATTAATAATCTTTTTTTTATGTACGTTAACTATATAAAGATGAAGAAATCTGGGTATATGTTAAAAAAATAAAAACAAGGTCGTATTTCATTTTATATCGCAATTTTCAAGTAAAGCAAAACATTAAAGGAACACGTTTGCTCATCATTTTTTTTCATTCCTAAGCTTTTCACAGGATCCAAATATACGCCTAATATACAAACAAGATCACTTGATAAGTTAAATAAATACAACATAAATTTCCATCAATGAATTAATAATGGGTTCATGGGTACCTTTTATCCTCACAACATTAGGGTGCTCGGATAAGTGGTGCATTATCTGAATCTCCCTCCAAACATCCTCATAGTCCTCCTTGCAGAAAAGCTTCTTCTTGGGAATGGACTTGCAGGCGTAGGGCGTGCCTGTTGCCTTTTCCGTGCAGAGATGAGTTGTACCGAACTGCCCCTGCCCCAGCTTCTTCCCTATGGTGTACAGTTTCTGCAGAGGTTCGGTCCGGTGGGGTAGAACCCATTTGGGCTTCGGCTTTGGAGGCTCTCTTGCTTCAGTTCCTGATGAGGTCGAGGACGCCATTAATGGACGAGTCACAGAGAATCTTGTCTTGTTGATAAATTCAAGAAGTCTTTTTTTTACAGAAAAAATCAAGAAGTCTCGAGTATTATATTTTGGGGATTTATTATGGTGAATATACTTGTCTTAGAATAAAGAAAAGACAGGCCTCTCTATCTGACTAGATTTTTGCCTGTATACGAGGACACTGATTATTGGTGGTCTTTGCGAAAAAAAATAAAAATAAAATCGTTTTGCGGATTTTCCCAATGCTTTTTCCCCTGTTTCTTTTTCAGCTCTGATGCTTATTGGATCAGCACAAAGAGTAATCATTTCGGAGTTTTCATTTTAAATAAAAAAGTCAAATAGACCCGCACCAGTTAAAGCGTTGAACTATAGGATTACCATTTTAAAAAGGCAGCAAATATATTTTTATTTTGACTTAGTTCTAACCTTTGCGACTTGTTCTAACTTCCTGAGAGTCCGTTTGACCTTGTATTGTCGATTAATTAAATTTTGTCAATAACATTAATTAAATTTTGTCAATAACGACAGGATGGTGGGGAGGTTAATTACGGTGACTTAGTCAGTAAAGTGGTTGTAGACCTTATACACGTGCGCACCAGAGATCCAACCTTATTTCAGTTTCTGTAACCTCCACACGGTCGCTGCGGGTTTCGAATCTTGGTCACTTGGTCCAATTTTCCCACCACTCGACCAGCTGAGCTACCCGTGCGGATAATTTTGTCAATAACATACTTAGTATGGAGTAGTATTTTTTTATTTCAGGCGAATTGCGTAATAATCAAAATAATTAAGGTTAGAGTTATTTTCATGTATAATTTGTCAAAGTTATTAATAAAAAAATATTTTAAATATTCCTTATAATCTTTGCATAATTCAGCAAGTTCAGTCTATTCAACTAATTTCATCGTTATCAAACGAGCTCTAAATCAAGGTTGACGCATGTTTCCCAATATATAAATCGCCAAATATAAGATTAAACCATACACAAAGTTCAAAAACAAGATTAAGTATGCTTTGTTCGCCAAACATGACTTAGTTAGTCCTATTAAAAGAATAAGTTGATTAACATATGAGTGAATGAGTCCTATTTTGGTAATAAAACAAAGAGTCCTATTTGTGAACTTAAACTTTGTTTTATCCTATTTAGAGAATTTTCTCTTCCAAATATTATTTTAGACAAACTCGATATTATTTTTAGTTTAATACTTCCTTCGTTCTTAAATAAGTGCAACAGTCAACATTTCACACTTGTCGAGACACAACTTTGACCGTTAATATATATAATCCTCCATTAGTAAAGAATTAAAAAAATAGTTTTTAAAAATTGACAATGAGACAAATTTATTAATATATTTTTTAAAAAATATATTAATACATCAATAAATGAAATGTAGTCAAAGTAGAACATGTGAATAGTGTAAAATTTCACATGTTGCACTTATTTAAGAACGGAGGTAGTAGGTGTCAAATAAAATATCATTTTTATATTCAATAATTTTTTGAAATATAAAAGGGCGGCTTTTATAATAATATTGAGAAAGCATACAAGACAAAACACATGTAGGGGTGGGCATATCAGTTTTCGGTTCGGTTTTAATCGGTTTCACTTCGGTTCGATTTGAAACGGGTTAGGAGAATCAGTACCAAACAAAAATCATAATATTTTTCTGTTTGGTTCACTTTGGATTTCTTATTTTTTAACAATATGTGAAGGTTTAATTGAATTTCTTTAGTTTCAATTCGGTTTTGTTCGGGTTTTACCGGTTTCGGTTCGGTTTAACACGGTTGGGAAGAAATACTACCAAACTCAAACCAAATTGTATATGGTCTGGTTTCGGTTCAGTTTAGTTCGGTTTGGTACGGTTCGATTCCTTAAACTATCGAGTTTAGGAATCCGAGACCCTAAATGTCGAGTTCCTGCGAAATGAAAACTTCGAATTTTGATAATCTGAAAACTGTTCTGAATAGCCGTGAAGGTCGAGATTCCTCTTGTATCTGTTACAAGTCAAAATCGTTTCTGCAGCCATATAAAAGCAAAAACTCGAAATTTCATGTAGAGTTCTTCGAAAATGAAAATTTGCAAAAATCGAAAACAAAGATATGTTGTAGAATCGTTTTGAAGAGGTGATTCCAACGGTATAATTTTTACAGATTTTCGTTCACAAACAAGATTACAAGAGCAAAACTCTATATTGAAGAAAAAGAGAAGAAAAGCAGAGCAGTTCTTAGTTAGATAAAAAAAATCGCAGATAGATTCAACATGTTTCACGCTTCGGCTCTGATACCAATTGATAGTCAAAAAACTAAACAATCAAACAACCATAACAGGTAAAGAAGAAGCAAATAGAAAGATATAGATAATCAACGAATCAGGTATACCGTGTAGAACGCCGCTGCTCTCCCTCGAGAGAGAGAGAGAGCAGCGGAAACCTTAATCTCTCTATCTCAACACCTCTATTCTCTAAAGCCTCGAACATTAGGGTTCCCGTAAATTAGCCTCCTTTTATGAGAGAAGTTGGCTAACTTATGGGTTACAAAGAAGCTAACGGGCTGATACACATTTGTGGTCCGTATTACACGTTTAATTAATAACTACACAAATACAAAGATATTTATTTAGATAGGACACCATAAAATATTCCTAACAGAAACATCTCTTCCTGACCATTTCTTCTCTGGCTCTTCAAAGTTTAAAGGAACAGAAGGTGACATGTTTATAAGATAACAAGCTATCAGCACAGCTTCACCCCAGAATGGATTCGGTAGTTTTTCCATACTCAACATGCAACGAACTTTCTCCACAACGGTTCTGCTCATTCTTTCGGCTACACCATTGTGTTGTGGAGTTCGTGGAACCATCTTCTCATGTCTGATTCCATATGTGGCACAATATGCTGAGAATTCCCGGGAAGTGTACTCTCCTCCATTGTCTGAACGTAGACACTTCAACTTCTTCCTTGTTTCTCTTTCTACCATGGCATGAAATGATTTGAAACGATCAAACACTTGATCCTTACTCTTTAGACAGTAAGCCCATACCTTTCGTGATGCATCATCAATGAATGTCACGAAATATCTGCTTCTTCCAAGTGACTCCTCTTCAATGGGTCCACATACATCTGAGTGGACAAGACTGAGTAACTGTGAATGGCTCTTCCTGGTAGAACTGGAGGAAACTCTATGTTGTTTCCCAAATAGACAGTGCTCGCATGGATCTAGGGCAACACCTTTGCCTATGAAAATAGCTTCCTTCTTTGCAAGAGTTGTCAATCCCTTCACGCTTAAGTGGCCTAACCTCCGGTGCCACAAGTTTGGTGATGTCTCTTCTTCAACATCATTGAGACTTGGATGACACAACTTTCCATGAGTTTTATAAAGAGTACCACAAATATGGCCTCTTGCAACAATCAAGGAACCTTTAGATAGCTTCCGCGTACCTTCTTTGAATCGATTAAGATATCCTTGCTGATCCAAAGTTGTACCGGAGATAAGATTCAATCTAAGATCCGGAACGTGTCGAACATCTTTCAACACAAGTGCGCATCCGACATTGATTGTTATGTGCACATCACCAATGCCAACAATCTTCGAGAAACTGGTGTTTCCCATCTTCACAACTCCAAAGTCTCCGGACTTATAAGTTGTGAATAAATTCTGGTGTGGAGTGGCGTGAAATGATGCGGCTGTATCAACCACCCACTCTGTAGCATCGCCCCCAAGCATATTTACTTTTAGTAAATTATGTAATAAACCTTGAAGGATGATTTATGAATTTGCGTGGTTGTAAATTTTTATTATTTCTTTTACGTGAATAGTAAATTGCATGTGGGGCCCACGCCCGTACCGGGGGTCGCCCGATAATTCCCGAACCCCATATTTATATTCATCTTGGTCTAGATGACATCTATATGGTGATGGATATCCTATTTGGGCCATAAGAAAGGCATGGAGTTGCCCGGTCGGTCAAACGGGGCCCAATTACCGGTATCGGTAATTGAGCGGATAACAGCCCGGAATGAGTTTCGGAGGCTCCAAAATTAATGTTGGGGAATGTACATCTATTCTAAAGGCCCATAATTATTGGGAACACGTGATATATTTTATTTGGTCCGATAAAATAAAATATGATTAAAACGGGCCAAGAAATACAACTTTCGGGGCCGATTGTACACACCGGGACGTAATGGGATGACCTCCCACATAAGTGGGGGCCACCCCACGTTTTTATGGGTGCTGATTGATCAAATAATGGGGGAGGGGAGCAGCAAGACGTGCTGGTACGCACAAGGGGGAGGGAGGAAGTCTCCTTGAGACAAAAACTTATGCCAAGGGTCCTATCTCACACAAATCAATTGTGTTGATTGAGAAGGCACCCTCTCTCCACCCCTACACTCATATGACCGACACAAGAGGTGAGGACCTCCAGGAAACCAAATTCCCAAAGCCTCATTGAGGAAGAAGAAGCTAGAGAATCCAAGGAGAAGAGCTAGGCTTGAGGTAAGAACACCAAATAGCTCTTTAACTAGTTTTATTGTGCATGATTTTTAAGAAATCATATGATGGATTAAATCATGAGTTCTACACGTTTAAAAGTGTAGAATATTGATATAAAGTGGTGGTAATTAACTTAGGGGGGTTGGCCAATCGATAGGAGTCGAAACCGCCGGAAACCGCCACTTCAAAGGAGCTAGTCGTAGTTGCAGACCACGAAAGCCGCCCGGCTTTCGTGAAAGCCGCCCGGCTTTCGTGAAAGCCGCCCGGCTTTTGCCCAGCAGGTCAGTTTTACACCTCCAATCGGCCTAGAACGGGGATTGATCGAGGGGCTTGGCAAAGGCGACTATTTCAGCACTTCATAAGGTGAGGATGGCTGACTATATTGCTTATAATTAGTGAGTTAATTTCATAAGAATGCCTAAAGTAATTAGATGAGATTTTCATGGATTATTAATAACTAATAATGCCTAAATGAAAATAATATGGATATGAGTAAGTGAAGCATGATATACAAATTTAGAATAATTGTGTATGATTATGTGAAATGAATGGAACGGCATGTTAATGGAATTACTATGATGACATTGTGATAAAATATACTTTACTTCATGTATGAAATTCATGAATGGATTAAAGTGATA